ATTTAGGTGAACAACCCAATAATATACTTTTCCGTAAGCATGCACTAAATAAACAACCAGCTGCATATGCAATCTTATACGTGGTTTATAATAAAAGAAATAAGGTTAGTGAAATCAAGATTCATTTTATTATTAGTATAAATAACATCGAATAAATACGACTGATTATATTCTATCCTCTAAATATGATGTATTTCATCTCCAAAAATAAATTAACAATGATGAAACAAGAGTACTTATGTTTAATTTGGGTAAAAATGCTACATTTTATTCCTTTCCGATGTTTTCAAAAAAAGATCGATACAATTAACTGAATTAAGTTCGTCTCTGCAGCGCCATTGCGCCATGTTGAGATAAAATTCACCGAATGTGAATTAGTTTTCAGAGGCACTTGCCAATTGCTATACCATTGCATATCTAGAGACCCAAGTGCAGATATATATATATATATATATATATATATATATATATATATATATATATATATATATATATATATATATATATATATATATATATATATATATATATATATATATATATATATATATATATATCCATTTTGAAGAAATATCGTTTTCGAGGGAGGGTAAAATTGCATAAATGGTCCCTAAACTATCATCATCGATCATATCGTTTTGATCCTTCAACTAATAAATCTATCATTTTAGTCCTTATTCTATTTGATGCATTTTAATCCAATCCTTCTGTTTCATTTGACCGTTTACATTAACGATGGCCAAACATATAATATTTATAAATTGTTGTAAGACCCATCCTTAACTAAATAATTCCCCTTTGGCCAAAAAAACTAGGGTTAATTACCTAAATAGGACTAAAAAGTGACAAAATTGCATAAATAGGATTACATTTTTTTGACTATTCATGTGTGTTTGGACAAATATAACCTTGTAGCTTTTGAAATGTTTTACTACCTCCGTCCCTTTTATATAGGGACACAAGAGGGTGGCACAGTTAAAGTAAGAATAAAGTAAGAATGATTTAGAGCCACACAACCTTTACCAAATATGGTATGGGACAATTTTAGTGGACTTCTCGAAAAGGTAAAACGGGACAATATAAGGGGGACTGAGGGAGTAATTAATAATAAAATCATAAAAAATAATAAAAATCGTAAAAAATAATACAAATCGTTAAAAATAATAAACATTAATAAAATATTTATAAAATAAAAATTTTGTTTTTTTCAAAAGCAAAATTAAAAAAATGAAAATAAAAAATAAAAAAAAAACTTAAAAAACAAGTGCCGCCTCTGCCACCTCCACCATAACCAGCTCCCATCACTCGAGAAATCCGCCAACATATTTAGTAATCCTATTTGTGTAATTTTGTCACTTTTTAGTCCTATTTAGGTAATTGAACCTAGTTTTTTGGCCAAAGAGTAATTATTTAGTTAGGATGGGTCTTAGAACAATTTACAAATATTGTAAGTTTAACCACCGTTAATGTAAACGGTCAAATGAACTGAAGGATTGAATTAAAATGCATCAAATAGAATAAGGACTAAAATGATAGATTTATTAGTTGAAGGACCAAAACGATATGGTGATAATAGTTTAGGGACCATTTATGCAATTTACTCTTTTGGGGATTATAAGGCCAGGTGATTGTATTTCATTAGTGCAATATTTCAAAGGGAAAATTTTCTAAATAGGAGTAAAAGAATTTTGAATTTCTAAAACAGAACTGTCATGTTTTTATTACCTTAATAGGAGTAATTTGTGTCACGTTTGACATTATCAGGCTTTTAAACATGGTAGTTTCTGCCAATTTTTTCCCAATATTGATAGAAATTATCACTATTTAGAGAATAAAAACATGAAGGTCCTGTTTTGGAATTGCAAAACGGTTTTATTCTTATTCAGGACAATTTCTATATTTCAAATGCAGTGACATTAATAGTCACGGCCGGCTTGATAAATTCAGAGACTTGACTTGTTTTTACTTGGACTATTTTGAGTCCCAGATCAGGCCAAATTTGGATAGTTATAATTTATAAAAGGGAAAATGGAAATTAATAATTCAACCTTTAAGCGGTCTTCATTCGTTGGTCCCACTTTATCGTTATTCGTGAATAATCCAACTTTTGCATCTCATCTTCATTCGTTGGTCCTTGACTAGTTTATGACCTGCTATTCCAGGGTTTTTCATTTTCTTTTCAAATCATTCAACCATAAATCTCACATTTCATAAATCTTCACCAAACGGTCCCACATGTCATTTTTCTTTTTTCTTCCTAAAACTTTTCCTTTTTTATTTTTATCGTCTTGACTCTTTTATTCCCCCTTTTTGTCTTCTTATTTTTATTTTTATTAATTTTCATTTTTTTATTTTTTTCAATGTTTATGTATTCTATTTTTCCTTCTTTTTCTCCTTCCCCTTTAGTATTTCATTTTCATTTATATATATTTCTTCGGATTACTTTCCTATCTTTTTCTCATCGTACTAACTTTTTACTTTATTTTCTTTTTACTTACACTTATTTATTTCCTTTTTCCTTTTCTTACCTTTATTCTACCACGTGCACTAATATATATTTGAGAAAATAGCCTCAAAATAGGACTAAATTAATCCCCAAATGCACAAATAGGATTATGTTATTTATCTTTACTAAAGTACCGTCTATCTTCATATTCTACATTTCTACCCTTACCATAACTTAATAGGATAATTATACTTTACATTATAATAAAATACCGTCTATCTTCTTATTTTACATTTCTACCCTTACCATACCTTTCTTTTTATTTTGTTACTATATTTTTATAAATTGAAATACCTTTTGTTATTTTTATTTTTTATTATAATGTAAAATATGATTATCCTATTAAGTTATGTTAAGAGTCGATATGTAGAATAAGAAGACAGACGATATCTTATTCCTATTTTGGGAAGATAAATAACATAGGTCTATTTGTGCATTTAGGAATTAGTTTAGTCCTATTTTGGGGCTTTTTTCTCAAAAATATATTAGTGGTAGAATAAAGGTAAGAAAGGGAAAAAGGAATATAAGTGTAAGTAAAAAGAAAATAAAGTAAAAAGTTATTACTGTGAGAAAAAGATCTTTTATAAGGAAACTAAGCCGAAAAAATATACAACGTATAAAAATGAAAATGAAATAATAAACGGGAAGAAGAAAAAAAGGAAAAACGGAATACATAAACATTGAAAAAAATAAAATAATTTGAAAAATAGTAAAAATAAGGGGTAATTTGAGTTTGCACCCCATATTATTGACCAAATTGGACTTTGCACCCCGTTTTTAAAAAAATTGCAGCCCCAACCCGATATGAAAAGACAAAAATGCCCTCGATTAGGAATATGTTGAAGGCCAACGGAATTGTCAATGGAAGGGCGTTTTTGTGTTTTCACATGACGTTGGAGTGCAAAAACAGAGTTTTTTAAAAACGGGGTGCAAAGTCCAATTTGGATAATAAAATGGGGTGCAAACTCAAATTACCTCTAAAAATAATAATAAGAAGAAGACAAAAATGGAGAATAAAAGAGTCAAGACGATAAAACTAAAAAGGGAAAAGTTTTAGGGAAAAAAAGAAAAATGATATGTGGGACCGAGAAGATTTGTGAAAGATGGGATTTATGGTTGAATGCTTTGTAAGGAAAATGAAAAAACCTGGAATAGCAGATCATAAATCGGTCAGGGACCAATGAATGAAGAAGAGGTGCAAAGGTTGGATTATTCATGAATAACGATAAAGTAAGACCAACAAATGAAGACCGCTAAAAGGTTGGATTATTAATTTCTATTTTTCCTTTATAAAATATACATAAAACGGACATTTACCTGACCAGACTAGTTCAGACCAGAAAAGACTGGATCAAAACAGACCAACAAATTTAAGTCCAATAAAAAACACATCTCTGGTACAAATTACACAAATTAGCCTGACATAGATAAAATGGTTTATCATAGATATACCAAAAATCAACCTTAAAAAAAATCAAAAAGTGATAATTTTATCTTTGGCCAACTCAACTAATCAAACAATCAACTATTTTGATTTTATGAAAAAAATCTCGAAGAGAATTATGTAGACTTCAAACGCTTGAATATGAGAAGCATAGAAGTGAAGAAATGCCAATTTAGACTTTTGGAAAAGGGGAAGTTTTTTAAACATTTTCTTTTATTTAATTTGGAGTGGAGACTCCTTTTTTAGCATTATTTATAAATTAAATAATTACGGAGCACTTTATACACACACACGACGTATATACCAAGTACGGAGTATATACTCCCTCCTTCCGTCCTTGAAAATTCTTCACACTTAATTTTTTTGACGTCCCAAAAAATTGTTTTCATTTTTATTTTTGGAAAGGTTTGTGTGGTTATCATTCATTTACTTTTGTTTTAGTCTACCAGTATCATACATCTCCACTTTATTCTCATTTTTTTAAATTCCGATTCAAATCAAACCGAGAAGAAATTTTCGAGACAGAGGAAGTATATTTTTTTAAATGGGCCTTATGTTCTTCGAGGCCCTGCATTTGCGAAAGCTAGCCGTGTTTGCATAGCCATATCTACGACCCGAAATTTAGTTTTTATATTTGATCAAGAGCTTTAGACATCCTAAATTTAGTCATATTTTTATAAATAAGCCCTCTAATGAACACTTCCTCTATTTCAAAATATCCAATATTCATGTACCAACGTACAATCATATATTGGGCTAAAAAACGTACTATCATATATAAATGAGTTGTGCAAGATGTACACATTTTTGTACATTTTTTGTACATTCGCCTGTCTCACGCACACAAAATTGACTATCCACAAACAACTCTGTCTGTGTGAAACAGACGAATGTACAAAAAGTATACACAAAAACGTGTACACCAAGCATTTTGTATATAGAACCTTCTATATATGAGTATATTAGGGGTTGTTTGGATCTGATTCTTAAAACTGCTTCTGCTCATTCAGGGAGCAGAAACAGAAGTTGAAATGTTTAGGTGAAAATGAAGAAGTGCTTTTATATATGAGCACAGTATATATATGTATGTATGTTGATTACCCTGCTTTCAAACTACTCCTAGAATCTGCTTATATATGAGCACAGTATATGTATGTATGTATGTCTTGTTGGAGTCTAATTGATTACCCCGCTTTCAAACTACTCCTCGCAGCCTTTTCTTCTTCCCTTCCAATTCTACTCCTCTTCTTACCCATCCCTATCTCCAGCTTTCGATACATCTCTTTCATCTGATAATATATAATCAAAATCATTCTCTTTTACAAGTTCCGAAAGTTCTCATTACACTAAAAAAATTGGCGAAAATTTGAGTTACTCTGCACTTCAGCCCACCGTAACCCATACGTAGATTCTCCCTGGTCTTTGTGTATGGATATTGAGCTCTTGAAGTCAGCTTCCGAAGACCAACTGGATATGATGCTCATGATGCAGTCCGACAAACTACCCCCGGAAGTCTACTCCGCCGCCGCCGCTTACGACGAAGACGCCAACGAAATGCAGATGATGATGAATTTCAGCCCTCAGCAGTACATGCATCATCCTAATAACATGCAACCAGCTGCCACCATATCTTTCTCCGGCACCGGCTCCGACGACGACGATCTCATTTATCATCAAGAATGGCGGGACCCCGTTACCGGAGATAATTACACGGGTGCGCCGAAACGGACGGCGACGTCGATGGCGGCGATTCGGGAGATGATATTCCGGATCGCGGCGATGCAGCCGATCCACATTGACCCCGAGTCCGTGAAGCCCCCGAAGAGAAGGAACGTGAAGATATCGAGCGATCCACAGAGCGTGGCGGCGCGACACCGGCGGGAAAGGATCAGCGAGAGGATAAGGATTCTTCAGAGACTGGTCCCTGGTGGGACCAAGATGGACACGGCTTCCATGTTGGATGAAGCCATACATTACGTGAAGTTCTTGAAGAATCAGGTGCAGTCCTTGGAACGCGCTTCCGGCGGCAGACGGTCAAACGGGTCAAGTCCGACTGAGGCGGGGTTTCCGGGGACCATGTCGTGTTCTTCAAATCCCATGACTGCCAATTATTTTCCAATCACAGCGAATGATGATGATAATGTCCATTATGATTATCATTGACTTATTAATTGTGTTGGAGACCGTACGGACCAGAGTCAAATGGAGATTGAGGTGGGGAGAACTTCAAGCTCTCAATTACCATGATTAGAAATTGCTCTTTTGAAATTCTATAATAGGTGTATCATCTTTTTTATTACTTGAATAAGAGTAATAATCTGCTAAGTTTGGGAAAAAATGTCATTCAAAAGGCTAGTAATGCCAAACTTGACAAAAATTCACTCATATTTAGGGAATAAAAAGCATGATACTCCTATTTTGGAATTTCAAAACTTTTTTACTCCTTTTTAGGGAATTTACTCTAGCATGATTAATTAATTAATTAAATGCTTTGCTCGAATCCGATCAGGAGTATCAAAAAATTACCGTACTAATAAAAATATCAATCATGCTTGATGTACACACTCTTGTACACACCTTATACACACCATGTTTGTGAAGCTTTTTTTTGTCTGTGAACCCGGTTCACAGACAATATTTTATTTGTGCAAAACATTGTCTGTGAATCAATGTTCACGGACAAAAAAAACTTTCACAAACATAGGTGTGTACAAAAGTATGTATAAGAATGTATACAAACATCATTTTTGTAAAAATATATACCCATGCACAGGGGCGGAACTAGGGGGGAGCGAGCCGGTGCTGCCGCCCCCCGTTCGCCGGAGGTTTTAGTGTATATATATGTATATATACATGCTCAGCCTCGTCTCAATAATAATATGTACTAACTGATCCGTGTCTAACTCAATAGTTGGAGTAGCATAGATGGCTGAACAATTTTAAAGTTGTGGGGAGACCCGGGTTCAAATCCTTGCTCAGTCTCCTTTTTGAATTACTTACTCCATTACACTTCTTCCTCTACTTATCTCTTAACCTTTTGGAATGTTATTAGTTTTAATATTTTTCCTACCACATTTCTTTTACTTTTATGTTGCATTTTTATGTTTTCAAATTCAAAATATTTACTCCGTATTTTGTACTTTTTCGAATATTAACATGTTATTTACATTTTTGTTTAGTACAAGAACAACAAAAAATGACTTTTAGCTATTGCTTCCCCCCTTCAAACAATGACCTATATCATTTTATAAAAAGTTTATCAATAAACTTTTCAAAACTACTTGAATTTTATATTTATTCCTTGGATTAGTACAAATATGCCAAAATTTCTTGTTGATATTTGAACTATCTGACTTTATATGAGTATAATTAGATTCATGTAATACTTTTGCAAAAAAATAAAATATCCTTTTAAAAAATAAATAACCTACTTGTAACGCTATTTGAAAAGAGAAAAAAATTATTATTTTCTTGATAAGTTAGTAACTTATATATATACTCCGTATGTTATTAATTTATCTTCCTCCACATGTTTAGCTATATTTCTATTTAAACCTTTTTATTCTAAAATAAAAGGGAAAGCGTATTAAATCGAAATAAACTCATTTAATAAATGTAGTCTATTATTTTGTTTAGGCACTAACAAATCAGTTATACAAATGAATAAATGTCGATATTTAAGTTGATGTGTATATGTATGTGTGCGCTTGTGTGTGAATTATATATAGTTACAAATAAAGTGTCACTTCATGCAAATGGAAATAATATTATATAGTAATTTGAGATCAAATTACCATAAATATACCCTAAAACGATACAGATTATGAATCTTCCCAACTAGTGATTCAAAATTTTTTAGCCCCTGCTCAAATTTTGTTCTGGTTCCGCCACTGCTGGGCCATGCACGTATGCATCATGTATATTATCGTTGTAACATTATATATTAGTCTTTTCTCCGTACTAATATCTCTAATTCTCTATTAATAGCAAAAGTTACAAGTTTCTCAAAAAAGAAATTAAAAAGTGCAAATTTGCAATGAGAAAATTTTATTACCAAATAATTTTTTAAATAGTACATCAATAATTTATTACTAGTGTGTAACACATTTATAAATAAAACATAATCAAAATAGAAATGGTACATATTTTCAAATTCAACATTTTTACACTTCTTAAGATACGGAAGTAATGTGTATTTACACCATTCATTTGATGGTATTATTCACAGTATATTCATCTTTTGTTCTAACTACCTAATCAATTACCATGAATATATGAAAAATATACTACCTTACTACGTATAATAAAAGTATAATGCAAGTGATAATAAAATAATACGGGGTAAATGATTTTTACCATTTAATATGTGTTGACCGTAGGTATTAATTGTATTGATAATGATCTTTTTTTTTTGTCCCCTTCACTTATCCCGGTATCATCAAAATGATTGTAGATGTATTTTTTTTTTCAAAAGTTGTATTTCCTCGTTAGGAATCCAAAATGCTAAATTTGAAGATTTTGGATTCATAATTGTGTGTAGTGATAGACATTTGGGTAGCAAATTAATGGAAAAAGAGAAAAAAATACGGTCGGGAGCTGCGACACCGATGGTGCAGATGATTCCATGATGATGTAGTCCTTGTGTCATAAACCCATGTTTTTAAAACTCTTATAGCTTTTTTATTTTGAAATATTTTTATATTTCAAAAAATATATATGATGTTTTAATTTTTGGAGTTTTCTTGCCTTCTTGGACCCAAAAAACAAGAAACACAAATTTAAATTCACAGAGCCTCCGTAAATAATTGTATATTATATGAAAGCACTTTATTTTTTAGAGGTATTTTGACTAGCTTTGCACCTCACTTTTTAGGTAATATTGGACTGTGCGTCCTATTTTCAAAACGTTTAGTCTTTGCACCTCATTTCCCCTACAATGTCTTTGTATTTGCACCTCATTCAGAAATTTTTCTTCATAAAATGTTTTACCATAGGATGCAAAGTTTAAAAGTTTTGAAAATGAGTGCAAAGTCCAATATTACCCAAAATGCGAGGTACAAAATCAAATTATCCATCTTATTTATTAAAAATGAAAAAAGTAATAAAAATATACTATACCATTATTTTTTAACATCGAAATCTGTATTTTTTATTTCAAAATCAAATTATCCATCTTATTTATTAAAAATGAAAAAAGTAATAAAAATATACTATACCATTATTTTTTAACATCGAAATCTGTATTTTTTATTTCAAAATTATTCTAGGAAAAAAGTAAAAGGATTTTTTTAAACAAGGAAAAAATTATTTAAAATAATGTAATTAATGTTTTACTAAATTGCTATGTAATAAATATGCTAAGTACGGAATATATTTTATTGCAGCGTCTTAAAAACTGTATTGACGGGGTCTTATACATTGTCTTCATATCAATAGAGTTTTTTTTTAAGTTTTTTGACGACGCAGATATGCGAATTTAATTAAGTACTAAAATGAAGTATTCGGCCCACTTTACCAGTGAGGTTGCACAAGGTCCTAAGTATTGACAAGCAATTTAGTACAACATTTTGAGTTTATCACATTTATGAGTCAACGTTTTTATCAAACATGCACTTAAGTCAGGGTATAGTTACTTTTTTGCTGAATGAGTTGAAGTTACTGTATAAGACCATTTGAGGTATGTTTAATATCACCTTCTTCCCTCCTTTTAGTTAGCCATCTTTGACGTTTCTAGTCAAAGATGGTAAACTTTGACCAATAATTTTAACTAATATATTTATGCAAGAATTAATAATTGTATACTTTTATGATAATATTTTTGACAAACATTTTTATATCATTTTCATATTATCAATATTTCAATATATAAATATATATAGTCAATCAAAGTTAGACACCATTGACTTGAAAAGTCAAGCTCGGCTAATCAAAATGGGACAGAGGGAGTATAATTTTGTTCTTTGTGTTATTAATGAAAGTTATTTTAATATATATAGGTTTTGGTTCAAATAAAGAACATGATCTTAGGAGAGAAATGAGAATGAATCTGGACCGTTAGATTTGCTTTAAGTGAAATTTAATGTGCATTAGATGAAACTGTAATGTGCATTTGGTGAAATTGAAATGTGTATTACAAAGGGTACGATACAGTGGCATTATGTGAAACGGAATTGTCCATTAGATGAAATTGAAATATGCGCTAGGTGAAACTAAAATGTGCAGAATAAAAGGTACGATGTGATGTTATTTTTGTACCTTTTATTTTGCACACTTCAGTTCTCTTAAGACACACTTGAGTTTAAATTTTTATATATTCTGCACATTTCAATATCATCTAATGCACATTTCTGTTTCACCAAATGCACAATTCAGTTCCACATAATACAATCTAACGATCCACATTCATTCTTATTTCTCTCCTGTGAGTTCGTTCTTACCGGAACCGCTCCCGGTTTTGGTTCAAATAAGAACATGATCTTAGGAGAGAAATGAGAATGAATCTGGACCGTTAGATTTGATTTAAGTGAGAATGAATGCCTTAGACGAAACTGTAATGTGCATTAGGTGATTTTGAAATGTGCAACACAAAGGGTACGATACAGTGACATTATGTGAAGCTGAATTGTGCATTAGGTGAACTCAAATGTGCACTGGATGAAACTTAAATGTGCAGAATAAAAGATATGATGTGATGTTATTTTTGTACCTTTTATTCCGCATATTTCAGTGTCATCTAATGCACACTGGAGTTTAAAATTTTATTCTGCACATTTCAATATCATCTAATGGACATTTCACTTTCATCAAATGCACATTTCGGTTCCACGTAATACAATCCAACGGTCCAGATTCATTTTCGTTTCTCTCCTGCGAGTCTGTTCTTACCGGAACCGAGCATCTTCGAATATCTATGAGCGTCTGATAAGCACCTTGCTGGATTTAGCACCAACCTGGACCTTTACGTATGATTTCCTTGCTAAGGGGGAATGGGCCGAACTGCTATTGGACCCATTAACCCAACAAGGAGAAAAGTCTTATTTTAGAATTTTGGCAATGAAGTGTGCATAGTAGACACATATATACCAAGTAGTAGGCCAGCAGACGGCTTATTAACACCAACTTTGTGAGTCTAATCGATAGAATTGAAAATATAGTTCTATGCATTGTTATAATAATGATTCGTTTCTCTCAATTGAAGTAAAACATCATTTAACTCCTCA